TTAAAAGCTTTAAAATAGGGGCTGGGGATTTAGCTAAGCGGCACCACACCTGCCTGGCAAGCGCAAGATCGTGAGTTCGATTCCTGGTACTGGGGAAAAAAAAAACAAAAAATAAAAAAATAAAAATAAAAGCTTTAAAATATATGTGCCATTTATCCCTGCAATTTTACCTCTAGAATTGAAGTATTTTAAGATAAAAGCCAGGTGGGTGGTGCACACCTGTCATCATAGAACTCTAGGAGGCTAAGCAGGAGGATTGCAAGTTTGAACCCAGCCTGGGCAACCTAGCAACTTAGGGAGACCCTGCCTCAAAAAGTTTTTAACAGCTGGGCATGTGGCTCGGTACAGAGGCCCTGAGTTAAATCCCCAATACCAATAAAACAAACAAAACATTGGGACAGAAGGAAATAGAATGGGTAGAACGATATTCAAGGATATTCCTTATTATATCACAAATATTAAGACAAATCACATAGTTAATTCACTGAATACATTATGATAAATTTAAAAATAAAATATATGGCCACAAAAATTATATGGAAGTGGCCATTTATAATATTTGAATTGTTCACCATTTTTGTTTTGTTTTAGTTTTTGAGACAATGTCTCGCTATGTAGTGCAGGCTGGCCTTGAACTCAATATGTGACCCAGGCCGGCCTCAAACTTGGGGCAATCCTTCTGCCTCAGCCTCCTGAGTGCTGGGATTACAGGTGTGCACCACCATGCCTGGCTATTCACAATCTATTTTAAGTGGGGGGGGGAAATCAAGTTTCAAAATGACATACCAAGCAGTCACTATTTTCATTATACAAATGCACCTCAATTTGCAACAGGAGTATAACCCAATAAAATCACTCTAAGTTGAAAAAGATGGTACATCAGGGATGCACCAAATGCCGCAAACCTGCTGAGCACCAGCACTTAACAAGACGGCCCAGTGTAAGGTGCTGCTGCGTCTCCCCGTGACATTGAGTCTGCCCGGGAGCCTGTGGAAGGGACTTCCCGTTAGCACCCCAGGGGAAGGATCCAGATGCAGAACTCACAGTCTGGTTTCTACTGAATAGACACCGCTTTCTCACAGTTGTAAAGCAAAAAATCATATAAGTAGGACCTTTATAAACTGGAACCATCCGTGTATCTATTATTTTTTGTCTCAGCCCATACATTAGCATACACAGCAGGTTAATAGTAGCTCTATCTGAACAAAGAGGTACGAGTTGTTTTCTTTCTTTCGACCTTGTGTTTCAAAGCGGTCTTAGATCCGGAACTGAGAGCTACCATAAGGAGCGGTTTCCCTGCTCCCTGGGGCTCAGCACCAGGACGCCTGGAGCAGATGCAGGCCCAGCGGAGCAGCGGGCTCTGATCATCCTGCCGCAAGTGCACTGTGCCTGACCTGAGGAAAACCACACAGCCTCAGCTTCCTCAAGAAAGAGGAAAAGCCGCCTCATGACACTTGGTAAACCTTAAACCTCAAAGAGAGCTGTGAAGAGGCCTGGGCCCTCTCCAGGATCAAATCTGAATTTTGTCAAGCGGCTAAACCCAACGACCAATTTGCGGAAGACAGAGGAGGACCAGCAGGTTCCCAAACCCCACAGGGAAACAATCAGCAGAACCCCACTGTGAGACTACAGGACAGTGAGCCCAGTGTCTACTGCAAACCAATCCCGTGAAGCAAGAAAAAGACTGAATACACATCCTGACAACCCAGCAAACAAATTATTTTATTACTAAATGGCGTTTAAGAGAAACTTGTGAATTTAAACCCCGACTAAACATAAATGATGTTAAATGATTGTTAATTTCTTAGGTATTATAATAAATAATCATGCTTATGTTTCTTCTAAAAGGTCCTTTAAGAGACACACTGAGATAATTACCAGCAAATGATAGGATACATGGTGTCTTAGTTACTTTTCTCATTGCTGAGACAAAACACTTCACACTCACAAGTGAAAGGACAGAGGCTATTTTGGCTGACAGTTTGGAGAGATTTCAGTCTACAGTCAGCCGGCTCCAAGGCAGGGAGGTATAGCAGAGGGGCATCACAGAGGAGAAATAGTCCACAGTGGGGCAGGCAAGAGACAGCAACCAGCAACCAAGAGCAACAAACCTCCCTTTCCCTTTTTTTTTTTTTTTTTTTTAATTTTTATTTTAAAGAATAAAAGAAGGATAACATAATAATAGAGGGGACTTAGCAAATTACAGACAAAATGGTAGGAAATTATCAATGGTTATCGTTTTACATATTATTATCTACAAAATAGTTTCTCAGGAAAACAAATAGACAAATAATAGTGAGTTAGAGACAAAAGAGGTAGGAGATTATCAAGAGTTGTTGTGCTATACTTTGGTATCTTCAATGTGGCTTCTAAAGAAAATAAATAGAGCTATACATGAGTGACCTATTGAAAAATCATTAACTATTCTCAATGGTTGTTGTAGGAAACACATAATAATAAACATACATTATGAAATAGGATAGGAACATTACAAACTTAACACAGTTATGGATAGATTAGTAGGAAAATATCAATGGCTGCTGTAATACATGGTGGTATCTTCAAAGTGGTTTCTCAGGAAGACAGAGATATGCAAGAAGGATCTAATAAGTAGTTACAGCCTAAGGGTTGTCAAAAATAGCATATTACCTCCTCACCAGTGACTCCTTTCACTGAGGTATGATGGCTGGAAGGAAGGCCAGGATTGAAAAGAAGGACCGAGAGACTTGCACCTGTGACTAGCAGCAGGGTGTTTTCTTGTTCCTCCATAGTCATGATTACCCAGGACTCCTCGATGGAGATGACGGTCTGGCCAGAGGGAGAAGGCAGACCATGCCCCAAGCCCTCTCATTCCTGTTGGAGTAACTGGTAGCATGGGTCTGAGCTCTGGGGCCTTCACCTCAGAGGGCAGACCGATCTCCAGTGGTCTCCTTTGCATCCAGGGCATGGCCCATGGGGCCTCTTAGGGCAGTTCCTCTTGAGGTGGCCTGGCTTTTAACAGTGGTAGCAGATGAATGCAGTTGTCGAGTTCTTCTTGGAGCCCCGGGAATCAGACCTGGGATCTGTTTCTCTTAGTGGTGCAGTAAAGGCAGCTGCTTTTTCTCAGTCTCTTTGTTTTCTCTCCTTGGCCTCCTCCTCATCATGGCGATAGAATACTGAGAGGCAATTCTTACTAACATCTCAAGTGAGCTATCTGAGGTGAAAGCCAGTCTTTGTAGCTATTTCTCTCCAGCTTCCCATTGCTTTGGGACCCCACAACCAGTTAGTGTCCTCTCCCCAACTGTCAGCACAGGCAGCAGGAATCCTGCTGCAGACTTCTCCGGAGCTCCACCACAGCCTGTACTGTCAGGGGAAGAATGGCTTCCAATGAGTCTCTGCAGGTATTGTGCAAGGTCCTCCTGGTTTACAGCTTCCAAGCAGCTCTCGTGACCCCAGTCCACTGGATCTCTGACTCCGTGGGCTTAGTCTGCATTGTCATGTTCTCTGAGTCCTTGTTCAGCAGCTGCTCCTCCGCTGGCTCTGGACCTTTCTGGTTCCCAATGGCAGGAGAAAGAGTGGCCCGTTGTATGGCATATATTCCCAGGGGTTGTTCAAAGTTTCAATGATTCACACACATCCGTGGGTGGGCAACTGCAGTCGGTGCATGGTGGGCCAATTGTGTCACTGTTTCTCTGTGTCATGATAGATCCCAATTGAGCGGCGGCGGCGGGCCTAAGGGCTGGCGCTCAATAGCGCTCGCCGCCGCATGGCTCCCCATGCGCTGGGGGCCCACCCTCCGGGAGCCAGCAGGCAGGAAGCTAGCCAGCCAGAAGGCTGGCGCTCCCCACCCGCAGCTCCCTGTGCGCCGGAAGCCCTCCTTCCAGGGAACCACGAGGCCGGGAGTGAGTTGCCGGTCCGAAAACCGGCACTCCCCGCCCGAGGCTCCCCGTGCGCTGGCGGCCCACCCTCCCTTTCCCTTTATCCCCTCAAGGTCACAAGCCTTTTGGGTGTACCCACACACACACATGGGGGCCTTTCCATTATCCACACCCAGAACTATGAGAAGTCAATTAGTGGACTAACCTAGTGCCACATACCCTTAATGCCTGTATCACACACCCTAGAAGCAGCCACCTCCCTGAAGCCCCCTACATCTACATACAAGCCATAACACATGGGGTCTGCCTGACGCTTATGTTAGGAGGAGTGGATGGGGCAGGACTGACCCTGGGTGGATGGTGGGTGCATAGGAGTTTATCATTCTGTTCGATCTACTTTTACGTATGTTCAAATTGCCCCATGATACAAAAATTTACTATTCAAAAGCAAATAGTGTTCCCATCTTTATGGTGAAGCTGATGGACTTGATTTACAAATTTGCAAATAAGAAACTAGAAATCTTTGCCAGTGGGCACTGTGAAAATAAAATGTAAGAGCCAAGCCAAGAGGAAATTCAACACCTAAACAAATCTTCTCCCCACCTCACCTGCTGCTGCTCTCAGTTTCCCAGTGTTAGGACACTGAGGTGTGAAATTGGGAGAACGGTCCTGGTCCTGGGACAAGGCTTCAGCAGAACTGCCTTCCTTTGTTCGAAGGTGCTCAGCACAGGCCGGGGATTTAGCTCAGCGGCACAAGCGCCTGCTTGGCAAGCACAAGGTCCTGAGTTTGATTCCCCATACCAAAAAGAAGCTGCTCAGCAGAAGGAAGCCATGGCCTGGCAAGCCAGCAGCAGCTCCCCTGGCACCTGATGACTTCAGCCCTGTGCCCAACTGTCCCCCAGGGGCTGCCCTGAGGAAGGGAGGCCCTGGCAGAGCTGTGGCCTTGTGTCTGTCTGCACACTGGTCACTGTCCTTGTGGCAAGCCTGCTCTGCTGTCACCTTCCCTCAGTGACCTGGGAATGGAGCCCACACAGCTGGAGGTGGGGGACAGACACGGAATCCAGACCCATCCTCTCATCCCCTGCCCCTGTCCACCTGGACCCAGCCTGTCGCCCTACAGCGGGTCTCGCCCTCTTCCCGCAGGTGCTGAGGACCTGTGCACCAGTCCCTGCTGTCATTGAGGTCCTTTTCAACTCCTACAGTCAGCTCCGTGTGTCGGAGTCCTGGAAGGAGGGGATCCCTGATGAAGTCTATCAGGTACAGACCTGCCTTGATTCCCTTCCTCACTGGGGAAACTTAGACTCTTATTTGTGTGGAGTTTTGCACTGGGAGGCATTAAGCATCGGACGAAGGAAGGAGGGGAGCTGGGGGTGTACTTGCAGGTATTTCCATTTCTCCTGGGGTCTCAGGAGGGGGTTTCTGTACTTAGCCCTCCGAGTCCACGGATTATGCATTCATGGAGCACACCGTTCACAGATCAGAAATATTGGGGGGCTGCATGTACACTGCATGCAGACAGACTTTTCTTTCTCGTCATTATTTTCTCAACAATGCGGAGTGTTGGGCCACAGGTGACCTGGGACCCGAGAAGGGAGGCCTTGCGGCTGCCCTGGTACAGATTCTGGCTCCTTTCCTGGATGTGCCAGTCTGGCCCCGTGTGTGGGCATCATCTGCTGATGGCTCAGGACATGGCCACACAGCATCGGGCATTGCATGCGCACATGACAAAGTCCACAGGTGACCACAAAGAGTGAGAACAGAGGAGGATTGTCGAGAGCTCAAGGACAACCTAGATTACACAGCGAGACCTTGTCTCAAAAAAGCACTGGCCTCATCCAGTGCATGCTGCTGAGCACTGAGCCCTGGGCTCCTGGGCCACCTCTGGCCAAAGGGAAGGGCTTAGCAGGGCGGCTTCCAGTTAACAAGTCACCCCTGGAGCCTGCGTCCCCCGACTCAGTGAGCTGTGCTTCAGAAAGCTACACAAACCCTGCACAGTGGCCCCTGTGGCTCCACAGAGGCTGCCTGGTACCAGTGAGCCACAGAAGGCTGGCCTATCCTATCTGCAGCCTGGCTAGGATGAGGCCCTTGTAGGTTCCATGCACAAGTCACAATCTGCCCACCTTCCTTTCCAGATGCACCAGCCTTTCTACCAGTCTCTCTTCGCCCTAGCCCACACCCCACGCTGCCTGCAGCACCTCTGCCGATGCACCCTCCGCAGACTCTTTGGCAAAAAGTGCTTTCACCTTGTGCCCCTGTTACCCTTGCCCAAGCCCTTGCAAAACTACCTGCTTTTAGAGCCGGAGGGCATTCTGCACTGAGAACCAGAGCGCTGTGTGACACCAAGCCCCTGCCCTGTGTGGCGGAGAGCACCCAGGCCAAGAGGGGCATAGCTGGACAGGCGTCCCACCTCCCTTGCTCACGGGAAAGGCCTCCCCCCTCTTTCTGGGGCCTGGCCATCTGGAGAGCGTCTGTGCTCAGGACCCACCAGAACCTCATGCTGTGAGAGAACCCCTGTTTCCAAGAGGAGCACACTTTCCGGGGCAAGTAGTCACAGGACAGTCCAGCACCAGCAGGAGCACAGTGGAGGGATGGCGAGCCAGACTTTCTGACATCCTCACTGTGACCACAATCCTGATGTCCCCTTGGCTGGATTAAGAACCACCTGGCATATGAGCAAAGCACACTCCTGGGTATGTCTGGGAGCGTCGTGGAGGTGTGGCCTTGCGTACTGCACATGGTCCGAGGTCCCTTCCTCTCCTGCACTATCCCCCTGCTCTGCCTCCAGCTGCCATGAACTAAACAGCGTGATCCTGCTTGCCTTTCTACCGTGATTCAGTCTAACTGCCTTAGACTGAATCCCCTGAAACCGTGAGTCAAATTAATATTCTCCTCCTTCAAATTGCAGGTGTTGGGTATGGTGTCCCAGCAATGAGAAACTGACTAGTGCACTCACCCAATCCCACCTGACCCTACTCTGGAGAACAGCCTGGGAAGGCAGGTGCCAGGAGTCCACATGGGTCAATGAGGGTGCCTCAGCTCAGCCTGAGCACCACACAGTAAGAGAGACACCCTCACATCAAGGACAATGTTCCTGTCTTATCTGTGCTGATGCTTTGATATCTAAGGCCTTGTGACTCTGAAGAACAGCCTGTCCCAGGACCAGCCAGTCCCTAGAGATAATAACCAGCTCACCATAGCAAGCCAACCAATGCAGAGCCCAGACTTAGCCATCTTCTGTCCTGGACTGTCTGACACACGGCTACCATCCTTCCCTGATCGCTCTAGGGCACGTGTCAGACAACTCCTCTGCCCCAGAGCTACTGAAAGTGTGCCAGCCAGCACCCTAAGCCCTCCTACCTTGTCCTCCCATGCTTCCCCACCTCCTCCTGAACAACCCTAGTGCTTGCTTGTGTGAGCCCCTGGCATGCTGAGCCCCCTGTTCTTGAAAACAGTGAATAATAAATAGTCTGCTCAGTGAAATTCATCTGCCTATCCATTGACCTTTCTAGACCTGAAATTTTCTTTTAAGATACTTTTGCTTTGGCAGTGCTGGGGATTGAACCTATGGCCTCGCGCATGTGAGGCAGATGGTCTACTACCAAGCTACACCCCAGCTCAGTACAAGAAATTTAAAGCAAGGACTCCTTATGGTTGTCCTGGTTTCTTTTCTGTCCAGTTAGACTCAGAGCAAGGGACTGCGGAGTGAACCTGCAGGTGAGGAGAGGTACACCCATCGCCACAGGCCGGCAAAGGAGTTTAGACCGCTGTAAACAGCTGCCCCATGAGGGGGATGGGTATGCACCCTGAGAAGTTAAGCCCAGCAGGCAGGGCCCACTCACTGGGGTGACCGTCATGAAGGAGGTGGCCAGGCTGAGCCTTGGTAGATAAACTGCCAAGGATAGGGCAGCGCTGTCCAGCCCTTCAGAAGATCCACGCCTGTCCCACCCTCTGAGACAGAAAATGGAGCTGCTCTACAAAAAGTCAGGTATAAACTCGGCTTCACACTCTTCAAACCCTGTCCCAGGCAAGCCACTGTCCCCACACCCTCCCACACAGACTCCCAGGAGTCACCCCTGTATCCAGAGGAAAACTTGAACAAAACCAGGGTGCTGGGAAATGCAGGGCACAATGGAGGGAAAGGTTTCTGTCCTCCCTGAAGTGCAGGTCCCTTCCCCCGCGCCCTGCTCTGACAGTTGGAAGGAGGCAGGGCCGGACAGCACAGGATACGGGTAGGAAGGGCTTTGTCTCCAGACCAAGGACTCTGAACTTCACTGGAAAGGCCTGAGGAACAGAGAGCAGGGGAGGGCTGTGACCACAGGGATCTCAGAAGATAGCTTTGTCCTGCAAGTCGATGCATACACTGGATGGTGAGTGGCATTCCAGGGTGACAGACAGGAGACCCATTCAGAGCCAGGTTCCTCCTGGAAATCACCCGCCGTTTGCTCACCTGGAAATGAAAGTATTAACACCTGCCTCCCGAGGTGAGGGATCCATATGATGACTCATAGAAGGCAGGTCTTTTTAGCTCCACAGGGATCTGGTTGACGTGTGGGTCCAGAGCCTGGCAATCAGGTTGGGGGAGCCCAGATGCTGTGGGTTGCACTCTCAGGCATGTCGCTGCAGGGCCTGGTGACCTTGGATGTCACCCCTGCACCTGGCCTACAGGCTCCACTGTGTGGTAAGATTCCAGAGCCAGGCCCAGAATCCAGCCCAGAAAGGGCACTCAGTAGATGATGCCTTGTCCTATTCCCCTTGTTTTGTTGTTAGAAGAACACTGGGGAAAGTCTATAAAAAGTGGGAAAGAATAGCCAAGTTATTTCTAAGAACAGGGAACAATGGTAAAAACAGAAGCACAGCATTTCCTACCATGAAGGAGCGCAGTCCTCCAGAGAGAGCGCGCTTTTCTCGCACAACCCTGCGCTCCAGCATGCTCTCGAGCACAGCACCGGGTGGAACACTGTTTGGGTGGGCTGGGGCTACAGCTCCGTGGCAGAGAGCTATCCTTGAGTGCCCAAGGCCCTGGATTTGACCCCCAGCCCAGTAAATAAATAAATACTTTTTAAAAAATAAAATAAAATGTTTTGGGTGTATCTCTAATCTGCATTACATTTTAAGTATGTTTTGATGAGTCATGGAAGAAAGCCAAGCTCTTTAAAGACATCTTGACTTTATTCTTCCAAAAGCCGAAAGAACAATAACCAATTATTAGGTTTCCGAAAATATATTTTTCCCAAATGACAGCTCAGAAACAGCACCATGAGCCCCAGAGCTGTCTGAAACTCCACCACTGTGAAGGAATTTTCTTTCTATTTTTACCCCCAAGAATTTTCTTTTAAAATTCACACGCTCCCAGGAACAGCTCATCCATGCAGCCCTTTGGGGAGAAACCACCCGCTCATCCATCGTATCATTTGCTTATTCATTTATGTTGTATTCATTTTCACTGTAAAAATGCATAGTACAAATTCATCCTCATAACCGTTTTTGCGTATCCAGTTCAGTGGTGTTAACTAGATTCACACGGTTGGGTGATAGTTCTCTAAAGCCTCCTCAGCACAAAGCAACTGAAGTTTCCCAGTAGTAACAGCTAGGCAGGAGGCTGGGGCAGGAGGATCACTTGGGGCCAGGCATTTGAGACCAGCCTTGGCAGCACAGCAAGCCCCTGTGTCTTAATAAAATACATATTTAAAAAATACTGAGACTCTTGCTCATCAGACAGCTCCCTAGCTCTCTCCCCGTCTCTCCCACAGCAATCACTGTTCTACTTTTGTTCCCATGGCTCTGACTCTGCCAACTGCCTCACATAAGTAGAAGCAGACGGCATTTGTCTGTCACTGGCTCGTCCCACATAGCACCATGTCCTCAAGACTCCTCCATGCTGTGGCCTGGGGCGGGACTGCCTTCTCTCGCAGGCTGAACAGTCTCCTCTGGACACGTGCATCACACTTCGTATGTTCGTCTGCCCACGGGACTCAGGCTGCTCCCACTGCGTGGCTGTGGTAAGGAAGGCTGCAGTGAAAGTGGGCACCGTGGTTTGTGGTTTTTCCCTCCAAGATTCATGCGTGGAGGCTGGGCTGGAGGCCGCCCTGGTGTGGGGGCAGAACCTTTAGGAAGGGTGATGTCCTCGGAAGGGACTAGCGTGTTCTCTGGGAACCCGGGTGAACTCCTGAGAATGGGACCTTTAAAGGAGCGAGCCTGGTCCCTGGATTCCCGGGCTTCCAGCTTTGCAGTGAGGTTTCTCCTGCATACCACCCCTCCACGATGCCCTTCCGCACATGGTGACATGGTCTGGGGGAGCCCTCGAGAGACCTGAACATGTGGGGATGCCCAGTCTGGGAGCTGCGGCTTCCAACTCTGTCCCCTCAGCAAACCCCTTTTCTTTATAAAGTACTCAGCCCAGGGCATCTTGTGATGGCCCCGAAAGCCACCTCAAACATGGGGGTGCGAATATCTCTGCAGGATCTTGGTTTCAGGTCCTAGGCACGGGATGGCCAGGCCCCATGGTATTTCTAGTGTTCCTGGGCCCCATGGTACTTCTAGTGGTTGAGGACTCTCTGGACTGTTTTTCTGTAACTGCTGCACATTTCACACCCCTACCAACAATGCACAAGAGGTCCCATTTCTCCACAGCCTCACCAGTGCTTGTCATTTCCTGTTTTGCTTTACTTCTGTTCACTCATATAACTGACCCTTCCTGAAAGCCGGCTGAGAGGGCTGGGAATATAGCTCAGCCGCGCAAGCACCTGCCTCCTCCCTGAGAGCTTGCAGCCCAGCGAGAGAGGGCGGCGAGTGCTCGGGCTGCCCCAGAAAGTGGGCATGCGGGAGCAGGGGGTTTCTCTGAATCTGTTTGAAACGAGGGCTGCTGTACCCACGTGGGTGGCCCGTTGTTGGCTCGTGGTTCCCCGTGGTCTTTCTGATCACATCGTCCTACAGGCGATCCTGTGACCTCTGTGTCCCTGCATCCCTCCCCCTAAGCCCACCACATGTGAGGCGGCATTTGTCACCTCTGCCAACACGGACACACGTGCGACGGTAACACGGACCCTCCTGACTCGGCGAGCCCTTTTCCCTGCCCATAGCTCTTCCGGAGCATGGTGTCACACCGCAGGAGGTAATGACCAGGAGAGAAGGGGGCGATGGAAGTGAGTTCCGAGTCACCTGGCTTCAGGAACTCTAAGAACGCACCCAGTGGTGTTCCTCGGTTATGACCATGACGGGAGGGGACAGAAAGGGCCAGTGCGGCTCACGGGTGCTGTCTAAGCCAACACACAGGGTGGAATTCAAACCCAGCTTTGCAGAATGTAATTACCACTGACGATTCACTTTGCTACAGCAAGGAATAAAGTAACCGACAAAAAGTCATTTTGATGACTGTGGCCAGCTATATACCCTATGCTGCATGTGCTGAGAAGTGCTGAGATGAAGGGAACTGCATAAATCTGCATAGATAAGAAAGAAAAAGAGGAGGAGGGGGAGACAGAAGGAGAGGAAGAAGGGAAGAGGAGGAGAGGAGGAAGAAGAGAAGCAGAAAGGGAAAGAAGAAAGGAGGGAGGGCAGGAAGCACATGTGTTGAGATAAATGGACAGGAAGCCATTCTGTTCCAGGCTATGGTTTGTTCCTTTGCAGTGAACAAAATATACCCTGGTATTTTTCAGTTAAACAGTATTTTTTCATCTCTTATAAAGTCCTTATTGAACATCATTACTTTCCTTGCTGACTGTATACCATCAATTTAACTCTGTGAGACCTAAACTGTTTTCTTTAATTTCACAGTGGTTTTTAATGGCACATCCACCTGGCTCAAAATTCATAAGCCAGTGAAAGATAGTACTTTTACCTGTTTCTCTTAAAAAGGAAAAACAGCAAAACAACATTTTTCCCTCTACTTGTGTCAAGTATCTATGATCTTTTGTGTTTGTTGTTTTATGGTTTTGGATGCAGGGTGTCACTCTGCAATTCAGGCTGGCCTGAATTCGCTGTGTTGCACAGGCTGGCCTCAGACTCACAGCGTGGATCCTCCTGCCTCAGCCACCCCAGTGCTGGGATTACAGCCACGCACCATGATGTCTAGCGTGGCCCTAGGGAAGGGGTTCTCTTGGTGGCACCCACCCCCAGGACAGGATAGAATGATCCTAACTGGAACCCCAGGCACCAGAGGGTCCACAGCCCATGGGCAATTGCATTAGCCTTAGAATTCTGGGTGCAGCCCTGGGCCTGTCTTTGCAGTGTATTTGTGTCTGTTTATTTCCAGTTACCTGATAATCAACTACTTAGCATATCTGGAAGAAAATCAGAGACACAGACTCTCTAGGTCTAAGGAGGTTTCGCTCATCTCAGTACTGAACGTAATTATTCCCATTTCCAATCTCCGAAATAACCCTTCAGACACACGCTGGTGGGGCCGGCTGTTGAACTTTAGCAGAGAACACTTAACCCTCTGTGAAACGGCGTAAAACAGGCTGGTCCGCTCTCCCCCTGCC